TATATAGTATAGTAATTAATTATTTACTACTTTACAATACTAATATATAGATATTTAGTTTATCTAGAATTAATATTATAGTATCTACTTAAGGGGATCTAGAGAAGACTTCTAATTATAATATAACTATTAGTATAGAGTATAGAGTATATATTACTAAGATAGTAACTCTAGTCTTATAATATACTCTACCTAAGAATAATATTATAGTATTTACTAGAGAGTATCTAAGAAAGAGTTCTAGTTATAATATAACTACTAGTAAGAGATAGATAGTATCTATTATTAAGATAGTAATTTCTATATTATAATAATTTAACTCTCTCTATATAAATAACTTTATAGTATCTACTATAAGAGATCTAGAGAGAAGTCTTTCTCTATAACTAAAGATAGCTATTATAAAGTAGATATTAGTTCTAACTATAGTATAGAAGAAATTCTAAATATACTATCTAATAGATATTTATCTATTATAATACTTACTAATCTATCTATAGAACTATTTATTATCTAGAACTATTATAGATTAAATTAAATTAGCTTTTAAATAGATTAAGATCTAGCTAGCTATATACTAAAGAGAGTATACTATAGTATATATAGAAGACTATTAGTATAGTATAGAGTTATTTAGAGAGTATTTAGATTACTTATAATATAATAGAATAATAATTAGAAGATATAATAGAGTTAGTATTAATATTAGTAGATTTAGCTCTTAAAATATAATTATTATAGAGAATAAAGTATAAAGAGAATAATAATTTAATATTATAGAGAACTAGAGAGAAGAAGTTAGTATAAATACTATTATAATATAATAATCTAAGAGAATATAAATAGAAATTAGTATAGAGTATCTAAAACTATTATAGAGATAGAAGTAGAGAATAACTCTAAAGATAGATTATATTATAGATTAGACTACTATTAAATAAATTTAGACTTCTTAAATAGTATAATAGATTAAGAAGAGAGAATAGAGAGAAGAGAAAAAAATTAAAGTTAGAGTCTTAGATATACTAGAAGCTAGAAGAACTATAGCTAAGATAAATTTTTAACTCTTAAATCTACTATTAAATATAATACTAGAGACTTATAAATTAATCTTATCAATAATTATAGCTCTATATATAATAAAAAGTATATAAAAATACTTATTCTAAGTAAAGATAAAAAATAATTAGATAGATTTTTAATTAAGAGTATAGTTAATTTATTATATAGAAAAAGATATTTTTTTATTATAATTCTAGTATAGATACTAGTAGAAGCTAGTAAAAATATTATATCTTTTTATTATTTCTTTAGAATTTATACTAGATCTATTATAGCTAGTTAATATTATTATATAAGTAGTATACTCTATTATTAGAGTAGTAGCTTTAAGATTTAGTTCTTTTATAGTATAGATAGTTAATATATAGAGTCTATTATCTTATAAATAGTTAATAAAGTATATAAGTTAGTATTTCTTAGAAGTAAACCTTACTCTCTAGTATTTTATCTATTAGATATATCTAGTATATTAGAATAAATATTTCTATTATTTATAAGATTAGTTTAAAGAGATTTATATTATATAAATACTATAGCTAATTATTATATATATTATATATTTTATAAGTCTAATAAGATATAAACCTAGTAGTATAGATTATATTTATATACTTATATTTCTTATTATTAGTCTTTTTTAGAGATTAAGTTAATAGAAGACTTAATAAAATTAATATAAGAGAATTTTAGATAGAAAAGCTATTAGAAATATACTTTAACTCTATTAGAAAGAACTCTAGATTTAATATTAAGATAGTATTCTATAGAACTTATATATAAATATCTTTAAATTTTAATATCTTATTATTAATAGAAGAGAAGAAGATATATTTTAAGTTTCTTACTATATCTATACTAGAATTAAAATATTAGACTTATTCTTAAGTTTAAAGAGAGTATATCTATTAGTAATATATATATAGCTTATATTATTATAGAGATTCTAGTAGTCTATATAGATAGTACTCTATTAAAATTAGAGTATAAGACTATTTTTAATATTAATATCTCTTTATTAATAGAGAGAGAGAAAATATCTTTTATCTTTCTTAGTAGATCTATAGTAGAATTCTAAGAAGAGTATTATTCTAAAGTTTTATATAAGTATAGCTATTATTAATAGCTATATATAGATTATCTTTTATCTAGAATCTAGTAGTCTATAGAGATAGTACCTTATTAAATTAAAAGTATTTAAACTTTAATACCTCTTATAAATAGAACTAGAAGAAATATTCTTTATCTTTCTTAATAAATCTATAGTAGAATTCTATAAAGGGTATTATTCTAAAATTTTAAGAGAGTATAGCTATTACTAATAGCTATATATAGCTTATCTTATATAAAAAGTAGTAGTATTCTATATAAAGTTAACTAGTATAGACTCTAAATTTAGTACTAAGCTATTTATATACTATTTATATCTTATAAGTATAAATAGGGAGTTAATAATATATATATATAGTCTATTCACGCCCTATTAATAAGTAAGTAAATACCTAGTATATAGCTACCTAATTAACTAGGGATATACCGGTCCTAGAGGGGTATAAATAATATACTAACTAGTAGACTAAACTATCTCTTCTATATACTCGACTATAAATCTAATATCTAAGGAGGTATAGAGATAGATAGAAGTTAACGTATAAACCGTAATAATAGACTAGAGAATAGTACCTAACTTACTATATGATTATATATATCGCGTCTAGTCTAAAATAATAATAATTACTACCATAAGGTAATAATGAAAATCACTACTATAAGATAATAAGGATTACTACTACTACGGTAGTAATTATCATCACCACGACGGGGCTTATTCATAGTATGGTAGTTATCTACCCGGCACTAAGGGCATAGGTATAAAGGGAGCTATCAACTAAGGAATCAAACTATCCTCCGTAAATAACCTATAACAGGTTAAATGGGCGGATTCTCTTTAAAATCGTTAATTATAAAGGGTGTATAATCCACGACCCAATGGCGTGCGTTAAGTCCAGTCACGAAGGCCTATTAGGGGAGGGGGGGTAATGTATACAATAATGATGATAACTATCACTACGGAACGATGATAATCATTACCACGATAGGTGGTTAGGGAAGCCTAGTATTAAGAAACAGTTTCCTATGAGCCCGGTGGAAACAGGTCGAACAACGCTCACTTATAAGCGGTCCGCTTGTAGCTTAACCCTACGCTACTAAAGTTAAGACTATTATATAGTTCGTTATATGCTATTCCAGACGACATATCTAGAAGGTTTACCGTTCTATATACGCCGACGTACGGACCTATAAGAGTAGCGTTTATAGTATATTAAATCTCAGGGTATTCAAAGGTCATAGAAGCGTCTGGAATCGGCGATTCCAGGTACTTATTTATATTAAGTGATGAAGTTCGTAGATGCGTACGAAAATATAAAGAACTAAGAATTAATAAGACGGCTGAATGCCCACTCTTTTAGTATTACGGTCTAGCTATTAGTCTACGGCTATAGTATTATAGTCATAAGCCTACCCCAGTACTAGATTATAATTTACTAATAACTACTTGAATCTTATACGCATGTCCGCACTTAAGAAAAACCCAACCCTTTAACTACTTAAGTCCATGTCGATATTATTAGGGTCGGTCGAATCTACCAACGAGGGCGGCGGGAAATCTAGGTTAGATCTAGGGAACGCTATATTATAGTAAAGTTCTTCAACTGCGTGTTCGTCCTTAAAAGGGCCATAATTAGCGAGATACTATACCTAGGTAGTAAGCGGCCGGTCTTAGTTAATGATAATGCCACTATTAGGCATGCTAGGCTGTGTATCGATCGTTGGCTATTTAGATAGATCTAAGATCCGCGACCCAGAATCACCCTCACCATCCGATGCGATAGCATCGGTGCCCTTGGGAGATATATACGATGACGTGGTAGTAATAGTCGGCATGGTCAGCGTAATTAAAGGAAAAACAGGAGGAGGGTTAAGGTCCGTAGAAGGTCCTAGAATCGGCGATTCCACACGTTCCTTGGAAACAGTACCAGAGTCTACGAGGGGGTCTAGGGAGTTTATCTATGTAGTATTGTCGGGCACATCATCCAAAACCTTAGAGGCGTCTATAATCGCCGATTCTAGTGCCTCCTCTAGTATCTCGTCACTAAGTTTAACGCGCTTAACGGCCTTACTTAAATCGCTATGCGACGCTATACGCTTCTTCCTTATAGTTACTTCGGCTATAGAAGACTTTTCGGCGGTGTCGGCTAGCGGCTTCATGCGACGTAATAAATCCTCTTCGTCACTCTCGTCGACTTCCTTAGGCGGGTCAAGGTCGGGATCGTCATACTTCAGCTCATCCCGAACTTACTATATGGCGAGCTAATACGCAAAGCCAATATTAGACCAATGATCATGGAAAATTGGACGACCGAGCGACTCCCTAAGTTGGCGAAGTACGGCGAGTTATCGCTCCCGATAATTAGTAGGAGTCTCGAATCTAGGTTCTTTACATACGGGCTAGGCGAGCCAAAGACGAAGACCCTCTACGAGAATTTTAGGGCTCCACACAAGTCTCTCGAGCCGCTCATAGGGTGGAATCAAACGGTAGTATTCCTTGGAGCTATGGAAGTGTAGATCGATGCAGGTATTAGGTCCACAGCCGCCCGCTCTGGCACCACCTAGTATATATGTAATCTTCGCGATAAAAGTAAATCTAGCATAGAGCTTGCCTTAATTCTCGAGACGCGAAATTCTCTCCGCTACAGCCAACCAGAACTACGTAACGTAGTAGTATCCAACCAAGCGGTAGATAATAGGTTTACCTATTACTAGTCGATCGATAAAGAAAGCTATCGCCCAAGGTCGTAGACACCCACTAGGAAGCTTTGGGTCGTTAGAGATTGTGAAGTCACCATCGTTTTTTTTGCGCTTTAGCGCTTTAGCCTTTTTTACAGCTGCGGCTATAACTAGAGTAGTGCTAGTCGGCTTTGCGGTGTCGGTTTAGTTTACCTTTGATCTTTTCGATGGCGTTCTAACTACTTTCCGGGCTTTGGATTTTAACGGTATTCGCGGTGGTAGCAAGTTAGAGGCATCGGGTTCGGAGTCCGGATTATTAGGAAGTTCGCCATCTGCAGGCGGAGGTATAGAACCCAAATCATTAGTATTATCTTCGGGTTCCTTTGCCGAAGATAGTTCCGTAGTAGGGTGTAGCGTTTCTATAGTCGGCTCTTTTACTACTATACTATTCTTAAGTGGCGGTGCGGTCTTAGACGTTTTGCCGGTCTTATTTATAACAGGATCGGCGGTATTTTTAGTCTTAGAACCCTTCTTCTTCTTCTTCGCGGGGGATAGTTTATCGGTTACTAGAGGACGGGCTACCACAGCTCGACCATGTATAACGTTATCCCTGATTATATCCTCGACGAAACGTGTACGGTTAGTATAAACTTCCTAAGACAGAGCTAACTTAACACTAGCGGCGCGAGCCGCATGTACACGAGGTGTCATCGGTGTGTATTAGATAGGTAGTTCTACGGCAGACGGTTAGTATAGAACATGTATATCTTAAGAAGGGCCTGGAATCGTCGATCGCAGACGGTTATAGGGAACATGTATATCTTAAGAGGGGTCTAGAATCGTCGATCCCAGACGGTTATAGGGAAAGACTATAGAGTGTATATAATGACGAATGCGCGGGTATTGGAATCGCTAATCCCAAGGATCACTAAAGCCGGGATTCAACATACCTAGAAACTTAATGGCGCGCGTTTCGATCGACGGGAATACAATACTAAAGAATATTAGTGGATGATAGTAATTCGTATGATTAGAAACCCACTAGACAATAGGTGCAATGTTAAGCATATCCTCCGCCAATGGCACGACGAGTAAGATATCGAATAGTATTTTATTATTATTAGAGTCCTCGAAAGCCATTCGTATACCGAGAAGGGTAGAATAGGCTCCGGCGTCCATAGCCTATCTATACTTCGATGTTCCGAGGACAGGACAAAGAATCCGAGCGACGCTACTAACATCCGGGTCCCAATAATTAACCGTAGTTTCGACGATGCTTTTATACAAACCTCTTAGGACGTCACGACGTTTTTTCATATCTAACTTCGTCTTTACGCATATTAGTATAGCCACGTGTATAATGATTTTTGCATTAAGATTATATGGCTCCGTTACCAGAATTTCCTCGGATTCCAAAACCTTATAATCCGCGAGGGCGGCCACGAGTTCCGGACCGGCTCCTTTACGGATAACTACGTTAATACCACCGAAACGATTAGCATCCAATTACCTCTACGCAGCGTTCACTAAACAGACGTCCTTCTCCAGCATCTGCATAATATTACCGACCACGAACTTTACGCTGTTCATGCGTGACGGCATTGGTTTTTTATAAGATTAATAGAAACGATCGTTCCCTACTAGATTATTCAGGTCTTAAAGTGTCCATTAGGCATGGCGTATGGATCTAGAAGTTTTGGCCGGTTCCGAAGGTCTAGCATCTTCCACGGGTAGCGGAGCTAATTATACCGCCTTCTCTTTTCCTTTGCTTGGCTTGGTCGGAAGGCTCTAATCGCCTGCTATTTTATTAAACCTATATAATCTATTTAGAGGCGTCTGTGAATTGCGATTACTAATGAGATGAACGAACGAATTGTAAGACTTGTTAACGTATACGAGAGTAAGTAAGTTAATATAGAAGAGAGGAAATTATAAGGTGGTATATATTCATATACCTTCGTGCGAATACCAAGCTAGTCTCGTTTAGGCAGTGACATTATAAAAGTAAATAGAGGTTAATGAACCGGACACAATATAGATAAGTAGTAAAGTAAAGTAATACTAAGTAAATGAAATGAACCCTCCCTTACGTCGCGTAAGTCGGAATAATATAATACTAGTTCGAAGCCCATACTCACGTATACTAAGATGTTACTAGGAGTAAAAGGCTGTCGGCGCTCGACGTTTCCAGACGCCTCTAGTACGGAGTGGAACCACGTTTTAAAGGTATGGAAAACAAGTATAGGAATGCTTAACGGAGCGTGTGAGACAGTATTAGAAATTATAATGATATTTAACTAGGCGTCGATTATGAAAGTAAGGAGATATAATAAGCCATGAGGACAACCATCCTTATATAGACTATTAAAGGAAAGATACTAGTAGCCACGAACACAATGAAATAACCAGTGGAATATAAATACACGCTGTTAAAGAAAAGTACCAACCATAGACGCGACTAGAAACGCCGATTCCAATCCCTCCTAGAAGACGGTTAAGCCTTATCATCATCTCCACCTGTGTTTATTAGTATCTCATCTATTATAAACTACTCTACCATATAAGTAGTCCAGTCCTTATTAACGAATCGTTCGGCAGCGTGTTCTATTAGGAAGAGATCTTCATAGTCTTCGATCAACTACATTATGCGGATCGTAGGCTCTAATATAGATCTTAATAATGTTATTTTCTCGCTGGCTTCTCGCAGCGAATGGATCCTGTCTCTACTATCTACCTCGTCCTCACCATGACCATAGGTACTACGCTTAGTAGGGTCCTCATCTAGGCGGTTATTAGAGCGGCGCATAGTATCACTAATAATGTCAAATATACCAGTAGCCCTCTCCGTTAGATCGGTGACACCTAGCCCCTCGCTTTAGTTAATAACGACACCACGGTTGAATATTAGGAGGCGTTTTATGACTTCAAGCACGGGAACAGCCATGGATTCCGGTTTACATAGCTTCTTAAACTCCGGATCGTCTTCATGGATAATTAGATCGAAATCGTGGTACACATCTCTAATTATAGGATACCAGCCCTTAAGAATAGGCGGAATAATAACATCGAGAGTAGTGTCGAGGGTACCGTCCACGAGACTAGATAGAGTAGTAAACATCTTAGGCAATGCTCGGCGAGTCATGGCCATGGACATTTCAGATGCCCATGTGTTTAGCATGTAGTACTTAGAAAGCAGGGTCGGTAAGAGCTATTCAAGTCGAAATATGCGACCTAAGAGCTGCCGCAGGAGAGTGAGATTGGCTGGATAAGAAAAGAAATGAACATTTCTATTCACCTTCTATAAATTAAAACCAACCCCTATAATTCCGCATATATTAACGAACCAATCGATCCGGGAGGGAACTCTATTAATGTCGTCCTAATAGGTATTATCGCCGTCTAAGAACGCACTAGGATCGGCGATTCCAGGCGCCTCTAGTAGGTCGTCCTCATCACCGGCAATATCGTTAGGCGTGGTCTTATTAAAGGCAGAGTCCATCTTCTAGTTAAATAGTCTATACTTTTATTATCTAGTTGGCGCGTCGTCTTCGGCAAAGACGCGTCCGACGTACTTAAAGCCCATTAGCCGTAACATGTAACATACTAACTCACGCTCAATAGGATATTACACCTATACGATGCCCTTCTCCTGGTACTTAAAGTACTGCGTTATAGCTTGTATAGCGAGTGCTACGAGCCGAGGGGACCAGTCAAACAGAATACCTAGTAGTGCCACTAGCACGTTCTCTACTTCGTTAACTAGCTTAGTAAGTCCACCCTTAGGATGGCTTCGATCACGAGCTTAGGCGATATTTAGTAGGAAAGCGTATATCCAACGCGGGCTCTCGTTCTTAGAGCTAGGACGAGGGAATTTTGGCTTCTATTCATTATCTTTCCTTAACGCTACTGTGTCCCTACGCATGAAAAAGTGTAAATACCCAATATAGACAATAGTAGACATCAGCACTAAGTTCCGCTATATGCGGGAGTTCAGGCTCAATTCCGAGGGTCGGTAAGGATTCGGCTAAATAAGCTTCTTTTAGGTCTCCTCGCTAATCGTGTCGTACTTAGCCTACACCTCTAGTAGATACGCCACTTTAATCTATACCCTTTCGGCCCGCGGAATATAGTTACGGATCAAAGTAGCATTATTATCACCATACCGTGAGTCGTTCGTGCGGCGAAGTACAAATACTCCGTATATTATACTTAAGTACTAGCCTTGCACCAGCTCTAATGGCGGCTTGGGATTATTACGGCCGGAACCCAGGCACTAGTACTCAAAGGCCGGAGAAGTTAGATACATACCTAGGACACGATCTAGTTTTTCCTGCGAAACGTCCGGATATAGTCTTACTATCATCGATAGAAACTTATATAGGTTAGACTTCGCCTTAAATGGCGGCTATATACCGGAAATACCGTTGAAATAATCGTCGAGGGATGCGCTCTATTATATGACTTTAAGAAGACCCTATATATCACCAGCGAAGTTATAGACGGGAGTACCAGTCACGAGGACGTAGTGTTTAATGTTAAGCTCGCAGATGGACTGGTTAGTCGTAGAGTTAACATTCCGGAAGCCGTGTGCTTCGTTAGCTACCGCATAGTCGAAGCACTAAGCGAGGTTCTAAGGGGCATTATATAGAAAATGCTGCTTCTCCATATATTTCATTTCTACCAATGCGACGGCGTCCTAATTTCTAGATTTAATATTCTAGAACTCCGCGTACCCTCGTATTTCCTCCCTCTACCTAGTAAGGCTATAACGGGCGTTGAACGTTACGTAGAATATTAAGATAATAGTGCGGGCGTTAATCTCCTCCGGTCTAAAGTACTAACTCTTCTATATTAAGATACCTACTAAACGCGTAGTACCAGTAGCTGATTTCCCGACCCTACTATCGCTGTGACTAGTAATGACACGGAAGAGCGAGGAAAAGTCCGCAATCTGCTCGGCGGTTTAGGTAAGGAGATTTACGGGTACTAATAGTAGGGCGGGCTTCGGAGGAGACACTAGGATACCCTTCTCGCGATTGGCGATGCGCTCGTTAATCAACTACATTTCAGTTAGATATGTGTAGGCGCGTCTAGAATCGGCGATTCTAGAGGCCACTAGGGGAAGGAACTTACATGTAGCCAGTGCGCCAAAAGTATAAATGTTTTACCTAGTCCAACACCATCTACCAATACCACACCCCGTGAAACCGAACTATCCATGCTCTTTCGGAGCTACTAAGCTCCTATAAGTTACTACTAATATAGAGTAACGCCAGGATTCATGTTAAGAATCCGAGGTTTTCGGGTACTAGTGACTTGGAGACCCACCGCGGCTGTAATATAGTCTTATGGTTAGGCGGCGCCGTTATTACTCTAGTCATTTAACCAATCCTATAGTTTACTTCTCTTCTCGCTGCCCGACTTTAACTGATCTATAATTAGCACTATATCACTAAGATCCGTGTTAATACGTGCGGTGATTGCCGCCTTATTATTATTCGCTTAAATAACCTCGTTAGTTTCAATCTCGGAGATCTTTTAAGTACCGCTTAAGCCCTTCATAAGATTCTTAATAGTAAGGTAAGAGTGGTACGGACACGTTCCTAGTTTAAGATAATCCGGATTAACGACGTCACGATCCTTATAAGTTACCGTAAGCGTGGCCTAGAGCTCTTCTTCGGAGGGGAGACTCTCGAGATATGACCTAGCGAATGTACGCCGATCGCCTATATTAATGCCCTCGTCTTCGACTATAAATTCTAGATTATTATAGGTATCTATCGATGCTCCCGATGGATTTAGACCGCGTTTCTATATATTAGTCCACGCCTTAGTATAGTACTCGGGCAATTTTTTCCTTAGTGCCTTTATAGGCTTCAAGGAACGTTTTAGTTTTACTAGGGCAGCTATAGGTCCTTCTTTTATAGTAGCATCTAGTATAGCTAGTGCGTCTGGCATGGGTGCGTCGAGGAGCGAGTTCGGATCTATCGCTTAGATGTCTTCCATCAGGTCCTAATCTGCAGCATCGCTAGTATTCTCACCAAGTTCCCCATTCCGGTTAGTGGTAGAGTTACCATCGGCGGCTTAGTATTGATCTAAACGCCTTCTAGCTTTTTTCTTAGAAGGGCCTATAATCGTCGATCCTAGACGGGCCTATAGAGTAATTAGTGGATAAGTAG